CTTGTCTTAAGATGAGAATTAAAGTTTTACTGTCAATTTAGGATTTTATAGAAAAAACTGCTTTAATAACTATTCTTTAGCCAAATCCTCCTAACTTTGGTTTTCATGCAGGTGTTGTTACACTGATGTTAAGTATTGAGGATCATCTGCTTTTTTTCCCTCTTTTTTTATATGAAGCGTTAGCTTAGCTGTAATGGTGTTCAGACATTTTCAGGCAACATATTTTAAGCTTTGTTTAAATTTCCAAATTAAGGGGGGGGGGGGAGAATCTTGTTGCTCTGCAAAACAGCAGCTTCAGTTGCAGCATGATTCACATCTGTATCATTTTCTCGGCGGTTGCTCAACGAAAGCGAGACAGCTGCTAGTATTTAATAACCGCATAGTGCATCAGATGTGGCGATCCAAATAATACTTCATAAAAGAACTCGAATGTGCATGGATATAAAAGCAGAGGGAAAAGGAGACTTGGCCACGCCTGGCGATCCCTTAAATTTAATTAAGGGATCTGACAAGGGAGAGTGTGACAAGAGCGGTCTCTGTGCTGCTGATTGAGGGATCACCACACTCTCATTAATTGCTCAATCAGCCAAAGGAATGTGATCTGTGCTAATTAGGAGGACTCTCCTTCCATCATGGGGCTGCGGTGTAATTACAATCAGTCTGGGCCTGACGACACACACTGAGCAGTACCACTCTCTGTCCTGTGAGCCTCCTGTTCAGAGCAGGAGCATTTGGCTGCAGTTGCATAATAATATAATGACTGCATTTACTTTGATTATGAAAATAATTAAACTGTTTGCTTTGTTAGTGTTCACACTTCATGCGAGCTTGGATTCTCTAATTAGTGCCTGAGTTTGGTCTTTTTTTAGTTTTTAGGTAGCCATTTGGGGTACATTGTGTCTGAGCGACTAATTTTTATTTCAGCTAATTAAAGTTCTCTGTTAATCAACGCATTAGTCACATTATTCCAAATATTCAGATCACTGGTGGGTCTGTAAGCGTACAGTCACTGATGACGATTGATCCTCTCATGAATGCAGTGTTACAATTCTGCCAACTAAAGTGTGGCGTTGAGTCTTTTTTTTTTTTTTTTTAGTTTCAGCACAGACACCTCTGTTCTGAAATATCACCGTGTGGTGTATTGAGTATTAGGTGACTTAACAGCTTTTATCAGCAACAGAGGAACTGCAAAAGGGGATCCATGATGTAGGTGCAGACATAAATAATAGAAACGCATTAGCTGGAAGAAAGTGGCGACAGTACCGTGGCTGGAGCAGAAAGCTGACAGAATGATGCAGAGAGGTAGCCATGCGTGGTAACACTGCTGTGTCAGTATGCTTGGCTTTCCTTTTTAAGTTTCATGCATTGCACAGCTTATAACTAAACTTAACTTTGGGTTGGATTTTGCTGAAAGAGGTGCTCGATGGAAATGAAAGCAGCAGTGGGGGAAAATGACTCCGCTGTGCATTTGTAGTTTGAACAGGATGTCGTACTTTCATGGGGTCGTTTTTAAAAGTAGTTCAAAAGCAGTGAATATGAGAGATGCACTCGCTGTCCATCTTCTATAGTTACACTTTGCTTGTACTGGGTTAGAGCACAGTTTTGCCTTTTTAATGGCATCAAGAAGGTGCTTTAAACATTCCTCATGTTTTGGTCGATGCTGACATGAATGCAGTACAGTTGCTAACAATCTCCTGTTCAGTTGCATGCAAAAACGGGTTTGGTGACACTGGAGGCCATTTGAGTACAGTGAAGTCACCGTCATGTTTAAGAAATCAGTCTGAGACAGATTTGAGCTCTTTCACGTGCAGGAATACCGTACTGTAAGCGGTCATCAAGAGATCGGTGCACCGTGGTCATAAAAGGATGGACATTCAGTAAAAATACGATATGATGGGGTCTTTAAATGATACACAGTTGGTACTAAGTGCGCCAAGAAAATATTCCCTGCACCATTACACTGCCAGCACCCCTGAAGCATTGATACAAGGTAGGATTTGTCTATGCTCTCGTGTTTAAACCATATGCTGCCCTTCCATGTGAGTGTTGCAGCAAAAATCGACTCATGAGACCAAACATCATCCAGTCTTCTGTCGTCCTCGGTGTGGTCTTCTGCTGCTGTAGCCCATCTGCTCCAAGTTGTGACGGGTTGTGCATTCAGAGATGCTCTTCTGCACAGCTTGTTTGCAACAAGTGGTGATTTGACTTCCTGTTGCCTTCCTATAATCTCAAATCAAGTTTGGTTATTCCCCTCTGACATCAACAAGGCATTTTCACTCAGAGAACTGCTGCTCGCTCAGTATTTTGTCCTTTAGACCATTCTCTGTAAACCCCAAATGGTGACCATCTCAGTAAATCACCAGTTTCTGAAATGCTCAACCTTGAAAATCATTTAAATCACCTTTCTCCCTCACTCTGCTCAGTTTGAGCATGATGACGTGTCAAGCTACACAGAGCTACCATCATGCATTTGGCTGATTAGAAATTATTTTTGCATTAATGAGCAGATGTACCTAATAAAGTGGCCGTGAGTATATCTAAACTGTTCTTGATTTTAAAAATTTGGGCAAAAGCTAACTTTCCAGTGAGAATGAATTACGATTAGAGAGTCTGCCATTCCTCTCAGCAGTCCAACCATGTGGAACAAAATACAAGGCTTCACTGCTCCTTTCAGGATGGTCTGTGGGGACACTGGTGATCCCTGACCTTTTAATAATGTCACTTTTTTTTAATGTGGCCAATATTTCATTTAATGGATAATATCGCCTGGACTGTTTGTTTTTGTGGCATTTAGCAAGCAGCATAATGCTAATATGGTAAATATGGTTGATACCGTAAACACGATAAAGCTTCTTAAAGTCTGCTCGCTGACATTAGCGTTTGGCTCAAAACTGAGTTGTTGAGATGGCTGCAGACTTTTATTCTTGTTTTCCGATTTACTGGCACAGCATGATGTACCTCAGTGTTTGCCAGACCGTGTGACCTGTGAGCGTATTGTCAAATTGTTGTGGTTGCCTGATGTGAAAGCAAAGCAGGCAGTAAAGGCTGTTTGTGGGGAGAGAGGGAAGAGAACATGTTTAATAGATTTTTTTTTTTTTAAATAGATATGGGTGTCCTTGTGGCTAAGTGCTTGGTAGGGATGTTGAAATTAAGAAACTGAATAACACATCCTGGTTTTCTGCCATTTCTTCTCTTTTTGTGGGATTTTGAGTTGAAACGGCTCCATTTCAGGCTGCAAGATGGTCGAAACGGTAATGTAACAATCCATGCTGAGGACCAAAGCTGTGCTATTCTCTTGTGAGAGCAGCAGTGGGTGAGGTGAAGTGGCAGGCAGGAGATCAGATGGCTCTGTCCTCCACATAGATCCCTGAGCCCTCGCCAGCCCTCTGATGCAGCTGCTCCTCTGCTCTCCATTTGCCGCCTCCCCTCCCGTAACCTCCCACTCAATTCCCAGTTGAAAACCTGCATTCACATACAGTCTGACTGTACTATAAAATTTATGGTCGACTTTTTTTTTTTTCTTTTCATTTGCCTTGGAAGATGTCACATGCTTCGTGCTATGCTTGTTGAAGTCCCACCTTAAGACCCGTGAGTTACCTCGACGAGCTTTCTCGCCCTGGTTCCTGAGGCTCGGGTAACGGTCATCGGTGCAGTCGCTACAGGCGCTGACAAATCGGGAACATCGGCAATATGCAAGTTGAAAGAGCCTTACAGCAATTTGCCCAGGTCTCATCTGGTGTGAGTTTAACTTCAGAAACATCTGCTCTGAGAATGAATAAATGGTGAGCTGCAGAGATGTGTGAGCTTATTCACCTTGCTCTCAAGAAAAGACGTTTGGGCCTCGTCCACTAATATTTGCACTAAAATGTTTTTACCCTGCGCAAAAAAAGTTTGTGCGAAGCATTACTGTTGGCAACATGAAACGTGCTATCTGCATACTGCCACAACTTTATTTTCCTATGTAAGGGAACATGTTTCTGTGTGGGGGATGAGAAAGAGGAGTCTGACAGAAGACACTAACACAGTGGGGTCTGAAGAGCAGATCAGTGTTTCCCATTAAAAATGAATAAAAACATAATTCTCCAGCATTACTATTATAGTCGCAAAAAAATCATCTCCAAGCGATGATGCCCAGGACTGATAGATGAGAGGAATATTGGTAAATGTTTACACACTTCATCAGTTGGTGCCCATAGTCTGAATTTGATTGTACAATACGAATTAATTCGGTTACTGAAATATTGATGGGTCACTAGTTTGAAAACTTTACCATGAATACTTTGTGATGTGTGCGTACGGTCCGACGTCTGCGAGTTACTCAAACCTGTACTTGAGCTGAACTTGAGCACTGATGGGGTCTCCACACTCTGCGCTGACAGCAAGGTGAAAGGTTTCGGTCCTCTTCAGCTCAGGAGTCGTTGATTTCCAAGATATTTCATAACAGGACTGTTTTTTCACTTCATGCCCAGAGAAGGGTTACCCTGCAACTTCTGAACACTGAGCTCCTTCACACTGGATTTCATGTGACTGCATGAATTTCATGAGCTGCAGTGACCGTTTCAACCTCTTTAGCTTTTAAGCACCAACTAGGGAAGCTTCTCACAACCAATCTTTGTCTTATCTCTTAACAAAGATACAAAGAGAGCCAGCATTTAATTGATTCTGGGGAAAAACTAATCATCTGGTTTAAATTGTGTAATACGATGTTATTCGCTATTTTCTGGGGGTCCTTTATGCTGCTTTGCAGCTAAAGTGCAGAGATCAGAAATGAGATGCAGCTATGGCCCCAGGATGAGTTTGAACTTTGAAGCCATGACTACTGAACTTTAGTAAGAGAACACTGGAAGCAACTTTAACAACATGAACATTGATTGAAAATCTGAAATGCAGGACTGCGTGTTTCTGGTAGCGCCCCCAAAAAACGGCCTTGAAACATCATCACACAGTTTAAAGAATAAATCTGAAATGTCTGATCAAAAAATTTCTTCTGAATATTTCAGGTATCCAAAGCCGCCGCAGACCTGATGGCATACTGCGAGGCGCACATACGCGAGGACCCCCTCATCGTGCCCGTGCCCGCCTCCGAGAACCCCTTCCGGGAGAAGAAGTTCTTCTGCACCATCCTCTGATGAGCTGCTGGTAGAGCTGTGCAGGCATGGCGTTGCCTGGCTTCTCTGTCTTCACCACACCTGAAGCTACTGGCCATAGGCATTGAGCTGAGTTTTGCCAAAGCGGGGACACTCTGTTGTTGGTCAGCTCTGCCCCTGGTGGCTGAAGGTTTTGGGGGAGTCAGCTACCAAACTGGCAACCCAGTGGGCGTATAATGTCTTGTTAAATAGGTTTGTTATTGCTTTGTTATTAGAGAAACAGCCTTGCTTAGTGCTCAAAGAGATGAGAGATGTTTTGGTTTTTTCTTTTTCTGTGCTAGATTTGAACTTGCCTCAGGAAACAACTTTGCCCAGTGTTTGACTTTTTTTTAAAAAACATTTATTTCCCCTTCTTTCTGAATAAAAATGTGTAGGTCTTTGTATAAACTCAATCATGACTTGTGTTAGTGTTTTTTTTTTTCCGTTTTTTTTAAAATGGCTCTCAATGCACAGATGTAACTATTAGTAGCAACACTTAAAGCACCACTAAAAATTCGACGACTTCCCTCAGCAGTGGTTTCAGTTTCAGCATCGACAATTAACCCACTCGCTTTAGCACAATCTGATTCAGATTAAAGCCCAGAAACGGAAACCGTATCTCACAGTGAATAATTTCCGCTGCACTCTCAGTAAGAATGAGGCGGCCGCACGTCGCGTTCTGCTGCAAAGAAATGAGTGGACTGTTTTTTGAAAGGTGCAGAGCTAATGTTTCAACAGCCAGATGAGTTCTTCGGGGTTATCACTGTGCAAACAAGCCCTTAAGTCAAGAATTATTTATGAATCTGCCACCTTCTGCCCACTCTAATGCATTCTAACTTTGCTTCTCGGTTTGATTTGCTCTTTTCTTTCGAATCTGAAAAAGCATCAGTTAATCCTGCAGCTCTCTGCAGGAATAGATATAAAATATCATTATTATTTTATTTTTTTGCAGGACATCTTGTTCCCTTCAGCAGTCTCTCTTAATTTCTGGGCATGTTTCCTGAGCCTGATTCTTTTCCTTCTTTTCTTCTTCCTTTTTGCCTGTCCTAGAGTGAATGGCGAGGCCTTTGACATTAATACCAAACTGGAGGCCTGCATGTTTCTCTGCTCCTTTTTGACAGCCTCCTCTGTTTCCGAGGGACCGTCAGTCTCTTCGAGTGTACAGTATGTTACGGTGCCAACTTCTGTGGGAGCGGTGTGATCTTCACACTGTGCTTCCCGGAGCCTTTTCTTTTTCTGTTCTGGGTTTTTTCTCTTTTGGAAGAAAAAAAGCACACTGTCGAAACATTTCCTTTACATGGTAGTTGAATAGCATTTGCTGATTTTTATGATGACTTGTTCTGATCGTTATTAATATTGTTATCAGTAGTATTAACGAATATCTGTTGCACAGCACTGACAGCTACATGACGTGCAGTGCTCCTAAGCCTGTATGATACGTAGAGAAAAAGAACGTTTATAAATCATGCAATTATTGATACTATCGTGAGTATTTTTTAAAAACAGCGCTGAGGGTCGTTTACATAATGGGGTCCCTTTTTTCTTTTCTTTTTATTTGGAGGTTCAGGCTTTTTGCATCAAGGTTTCTATCATCGAAGGGGAGGGTGAGTGGGGACTTCCTTTTTGGTACTTGAATAGCCATTGCATTAGGAATCAGTCTCTGATACTGGACCGTAACAAACGCAGACTCAATTGTCTTCAGGATAATTATCGACTTTATTTCCTATCTGAAAACCTGAGCTGACCTCAGGACACTCTCGCTGACCTCATCTCAAGGATGGTGCCAAAATCTGAAAAGAAATACGACGGCTAGAGATGAATATTGCATGGATTTATTTCTATTTATAACAGAACTATTATGATATGAAAAATTGCCTGTTCATTGACTTTTCTGGGTGCTACTCTGCACATAATAATCTCCCTGGAGTCCGGATATGTCAACAACGTGCAGCTGTATTCATGAATGGTATTATTGTTTTGGGGGGGGAATAAATAGCATTTACATAGCAGACTTTGTAAAAATCCTTTGACGGATCAAATGAATTAAAAGAAAACGGCAACCCACAGTGTGCTGTGTCTTCAGTATTTTTCTCTCTTTCTGGCATCTGTCTGATCACACCGACAACATGCTGCAAATCGTTCTGGGTCTCGCAGAGGAACATCGTGTTTCGGTGTGTATTGGAGACCTCCTGTGGCTGAGCTGAACCATGGGCCATCTGGATGCACTCTTGCGTTTTTTAAAAAAAGAAAAGGATTACGATTCAGTTCAGCCTTGTCCAGTTTGCCTTCTATTCTGCAAATCTAAAGCGGGAGGGCATTACATGTGCTGGGTGACAGCACAGTTTGCACGAAGAACAGCCTCGATTTTTATGATTCGAGGTATCAGCGGCTGACATCAGCATTCACGTTGTCTGCTGTTGCTCCTTCATGTCTCCATCCATGCATCCATTTACATCCTCACCGGGGGAATAGGCCAAAATTACAACTTTCCACCTAATTTAGTTGATAGTGGTTATTTTATTTTTAGCCACTTTTCACTGCACTTCATGGTCTGATGATCGGGTCAGAGGCAGAATTGGTCTTTTTTTTTTTTTTTTTTTTTTTTTTTTTTTTTTTTAATCAACTCTTAAATCAACTCTTGCGTGTTGATATTATGAGAGAC